GTCTCTGTTAAATAGAATAGAATATGTATCAACTGGCTCATGTGGTAGTTTCACTCGGAGTGCCTGATATATTATGAGATCTATCAGCATTATGATTAGTCCTGTATCAACCAGGATTTCTCATTCTTGTACTCTGATAGATACATACCAAAAACCTGCCAAACCATTAGAGAGCTGAGTTGATAACCACTCTTTTTTCATACAAGCTGTTCTTTGCTCTCCCTTAAGTTGGTGGCCAGATCTGACTTGGGATCCTCTAGCTTCCTAATGCTACAGCTGCACTATTCACTACTTGCTATCAGCTCTCCTGTACCCATTGAACTGTTGGTTGGAACTGATAACTTTGTATACTTTGCTGCTTGGTATGATATAAGCAGGTTAGCTGAAAGTGACCTAATACTCCACAAACAAAGCTATTCCCATCCATGTACATCCTGGCAGAGACATCAGAAACATATATTGTGAGGTATACACCATGGGAGGACTGGTATAGCCCTGTTCATTCACTGGATATCAGTTTGGTTGCATCACAACATCAGATATTTGCTTGGTTAACCCTTGTCTAGAATTGAAACTGGTGTGTCATGGTTACCGGGGTAGCATGGTCAGTCGGAGGTAAAGTTATTGCATCTGCTGGTACAGATTTTTTCCTTTCTGGTGACTAGATTGAAGTTACTGCTTCATACTGCATTTTTACAGAAACTTCCTCAGTGATGGTTAAAAGGTCTCCCACAAGTAGGTGATGCTACATGAACTTTTTCAATGAGGCTATCCTTATGATCTGCCAAGGTTATTGCATATACCATGTAATTGGCACACATCATCTGCATAAGCAGTCAATGTTTCTATGGCACACCTTGACTGAACCTTCAATTAGCCCAATGAATTGCTTTATTCTTCCAGCAGGTTAAACCTCTTCTGGAGTCCAGACACTCTGGACAGTTAAGTGCTAAAAATGCTTCAGAAAGTAACCCAATTCTTCCTTTGCTTTGTCATTAACGTTTGGCACAGTCTTTAGGCAGCTTGTCCATGACCTCCACATGACCTGAAGCTTTACCATGTGTCATGTTCACATTGGCAGTATGCTTCCCAGTTTGGGGAGGCTCACCATTGGCCCATGTCCCACACACTCTGGCATTTGGTATCAATAATCTCATCTGTTAGTGAGATAGTTCTGGTTAGTGGATTATGTATGGTGGTGTATTTTTTCATGAAATATATGTGATATTTACCTTAAAAAATAAAAAAGTTACATTATGTAAATCTTTATTTGACAAAATTATGTGTGTGTTTGTCCACTTATAACTAGCAAACCAATAGACCAATTGTCATCAAAACTAGTGTGCTACCTTAGGGCCTCTTGAGAAGTGACAAAGGGGATATTTGTGAATGACCCACCAGGAAGAGCTCCCATGTTTCCTTATTGCTTTGAATAGGTGTAACAAATAGTAATTGTAATTCACATTAAGATTAAAATATGCACATTAGCTAGTATTATCTTCTAAAAATAATGCCAAGTTTAGCTATTTTCCAACTGTTTCAACAACTTGTTTATTCAAATCATTCTATAGCTAGAAATACTGAACAGCTTAATGTCGTTAGCAGTTTTACTTATTTACTAATTATGCTTCTATCTATATCATTAAAGTAATTTTCCTTAGCTAATCTTTCTGTCATACCTCATCAAAACTCTTTTCAAAATCTAATTACACCAACTCCACACCCTTTTCAATCTTCAGCTAACAGGTATTTGTAGGGTATGATTTCTATTTGCTGAGCCCAGTGGCCTTCTTTTATAATACCAAATGATTTTGCAATGTTTCTTTTGCCAGTCTCTAGGATTTCTCCCACTGCAGAATTATGACTGTCTTATAATTTCCAGATAAACTACTATCACTCCCTCCTCTTTGAAAATAGGAGTATCATTAATAACATTAGCAACCCTCCAATCTTTAGGAATCTGCCAACTGTCTATTGACCTACCAAACATGAAGGAGAGAAGCTTACATATATGCCCTTTGACCTCTTTTAAAATCCTGTGTGGCCTTGGTGATTTATCTGTTTTAAATTTCTCAGTTGACCTACTTACCTCCAAGAGATTAATATCTACACGATCTAAGTTTCTACCAAGGCATTTTTGAGTGCTGGGCAATTCTCGTGGTCAGTGTTGAAGGCATGAAGCCATATTAGAGGGTTCCAGGGATCATGACCTCCAAGAAATTGTTTTAATTGAAATGGTACATTTTAGCATGTGAATGAAAGAAAGTTGACAGCTTGCCATTATATGTATGTAAATTTTATGTAAGAATAAGAATCAATGAAACTACACACATATCTGTAATCAAGTATATTCTTCAAATCAGTTGATATATTCCTAAAGACTAAATTCCAAAACAGATGATAAGAATATTCATTTATTGACAGTGCTTCACTGTATATTTACCTCACCACTCTTTAATAGTTATTTTTGTAAATCATCTTATGACATTTATCTGCCAAACAATGAAATAAAATTATCAGCAGTAGCCATACTAATTTTCTTGCATTAGTTTTATGATTTATTAGCATTAAATGCAGTTTACTAAAGTGATTATTGTAGCAAGAAGATGTATTATTAGACAGATATTGACTGGTTATGAGGGCAACAGCTCCTTTGTTTCCTGCAATCATCAATCAGTAATTGTTTTATTCAACCCCTACCAATAATTCTTCAGCACTACAATTCGCTGCTGCAATTTCAACTCATAGGCCTACTTTTCAAAGGATTATATCATTTAAATTAGAAAGAATTAATTGAGAATTGAGCCATACAAATTCAGTAAATTTATCACTGTATGTCAGATTGCAAAATGGATTGTACTTTCATGTGTTTACAAATTACAATGTATGTATAAAGTACAGTGGGCCCTCCTCTAACATGGGAGATACTTTCCTTGAGCAAGCCATGTTGGGTAAATCCATGTTGGAGGAACTCGGTATCTTATAGGATTAATAGGGATACGAGAATACATACAGCCACACTAAGTCTCCAATAAAGGCTTATATATGGATTTTTAACACATAATTGAAAAGCCCTACCTATATTTTATTTTATGTGAACTAAAAATATAAAATCATAAACATAATAACATTCACATGTGATATCCTGCACCTGTAAATGAAAATATGTTAAATTAAATAATACAGTACTGCATTTTATTTAACACTTACCTATGAATGAGGAAGACGAAGACTTTTTGTTGATGAGAGAAAGATTTGTGATGGTGATGATAACAGATTTGGAAGCTGAGAGGTTAGTTTAAGGCTGATGGATCATCTGGATTATCGGAAAATTTGGCCTAAAACTCCAGTTAAACAGATGTAGCAATCAATTGGATGGGGTCAGATGACATTACATTGGCTGACTTGGTTTTCATAAAGTCAGTAATTTCTTTCAGATTTTCTCTGTAGGGTACTAGAACATCATTAAACCCTATTTTAAACTTAATGCTTCTTTCCATTATGGGATCCTTGTCTACAGCCATTTCTGTGAGCTCATCTGCCTTGCATAGGAAATTGGACACAGCCTTCACTGTGAGGATGGGTTTAGCAGGTTCTGGCTCATCAGCATCTTCATCACTATCACTGGAGGGAATCAGAACTTCAAGTTCTTCATTTGTTGGCTCTTACTGATGGGACTCCAGCAGCTCAACCACTTCCTCATCCCTCATATTATCAAACCTCTCACCTCCAATTTCTTTAGAGAGTCTCACAACATGGGCAACTTCCTTCTCAACTGCTGGAAAGGTCTTGAAATTGTTCACGACTTCAGACCAAAGATGATGCCAGCATGCAATTATGGTAGACTCTTTCACTTCGTCCCATGAAATTTTGGTGATATCGATACAGTCATTAATGTTATAAGCTTTCCAAAACTTGGTTAAGTTTTTAAAAACACTGGAGTCTAGAGCTTAGGTTGCATATTGGTAGACATTCCTTGTATAGTAAAACTTGAATGTCTTAATTACTCTTTGGTTCGTCAGTTGCTAAATGGATGTGGTATTGGGAGGTAAAAGTATCTCCACATTAGGGTGGCTGAATTGCAGTGTGTCAGGGTCATGGTCAGGAGCATTATTCAGAACTAGAAAAATCTTAAAGTCAAGGTTCTTCTTCACCAGGTATTCTTTAACCTCATGCACAAAATGATTTTGCAATCTGTCATTGAATAGCAGCCTAGATACCCAAGCCTTTTTATTTGAACACCAAACAATAGGCAAATGTTGTTTATTCTTCCCTTTTAATGCGTGTGGGTTTGCAGAGCGATACACTAACATAGGCTTGATGTTAAAGTCACCAGATGCATTCCCCAAAAAAGCAAAGTGAGCCTATCCATGAAGGCCTTAAACCTGGATGCTACTTTCTGCTCCTTGGTGATGAATGTCTTGTTGCACATCTTCTTATAACAGAGCCTGGTCTCATCTACATTAAACACCTATTGAGGGCATATCCTTTTTCCTTAATGAATTCAAGGAACCATAGCTTGAACCGTTCAGCTGCATTCCCTGTCAGCTGACTCAGCTTCACATTATGCAGGTTGAAGTGTTGCTTAAATTTGGCAATCCAGCCTTTACTTGCCTGAAACTCACTGGCATCTGTAAAAGGTAGCACTCAGTTGGAGTTTCAATTAAAACTACCCTTTACACCAAATTTATTTATTGGAGGATTTGTTGTGACAAGTGGAGCCACAAGTCGCTAACTCGAGGAGTTTACAGTTAGACTAAGGAATATGAGTCTCAGACCAACAGTATACACTCAAAATGATAATTATTAAACATCAATTACTTATTATAAAACCATTACACAGTTAAAATATGAGTTATCAAACAATTACTGATAAAAACTTTACTGTTTATACTTAATATTTCGTACACTAGCTGATCAAGAGAGAGAGACTATACTTACAGTAGAGTTGGGGTTTTGGAAGTTGTAGCTACGTTAGTAAACTTCAATTCCATTTTCAGTTTGGAGAATTTCTTCCTGGAGAGGACTTCGGCAGGAGCTGATTTTTCAGCCTCTGACATGGGTTTTTAAAACTCTAGTTTCCTTGTGTTAATTCAACCCAATAAATAGGACACAGCATAACCCACAAGTAGTCCTGTGCTCCTATTGGATACTTTAGGGGAATTCCCGGACTAATCCAGAACCTAAACCAAAACGTTATTGGTCATAGATAAGTGGTGTTAGCCGGCCGCCTATTCACTTGTACTGCTACACCCATGTGCTGTAACTAATACTGCCTCAAAGTGCTGATATGATTCACCAAATCTAAACTTTTCTGCAGCTTTCCTAGTGCTAAGAGAGCGAGGCCAACACTTCATCAAACTGTCACATGTATTGGCGTCCACATCCTGTTTGTTATGCAATAGTTCTTACTAACTCTGCTATTGACCCTGGGTCACTGATTTCCAGGCTCGCCTCTCAAACTTATTTTTAAGTACTGCATGTGTTTTGCTGCTTACTTCTGAATGATGCCTCTTGTATAACCAAGTTCCTGTTTATTAATTTCTCAAGGCTTATTTCATAACACAGGCGTCCTATTGTAGCCTCCTTTTCTTTTTTATATCTATCTTTACTTGCTTGCTTGTATTAAAACCCTAAAGCTTTTAGTCTAAGTACTTTTAAGTATTAAAACTCTTGAAGCAATTGTGAAATTTCCTCGAAAATATCAAGTTGCTTCACATCCACAGCACTTGCACCCTCATTGGAGACTATGTATTCATACAAACTACTCGCTTTCTCACATATAGCTACACTATCAAAAGAGACTTTTTTGTTCATTTGTTCACGGTGCCACACATTCAATAATTTTTCCATGAACATATTCCTCCTAGGCACTTGTGAAACATTAGCACTTATAGGGGCAGAAGCCTTAACACTTGCACGGATTTTCTCTTCACTCCTCCTAATTGTACATATGAAGACTCACTCACGTCATATTTCCGGCTTATGGATGCTACACTCATCCCACTTTGTAACTTATCAAGGATATGAATTTTCTCAGCTAATGTCATAACTTTCCAGCTTTTCTTTGCCACACTAACACTTGGAGATACTTTACGTTTTGATTCCATACTGCTATATAAGGGTAATTACGAAAAGCAGCAAAGAAATGGCAAACATAAATTGACTGCACTGCACCGAATTTCCCCTAATGTTACACACCTGACACATTTTCTCTTGGCATCTTCTCTATTTTATTCACCCCACCCCGGTAATGATGCACTGAAACGTAAAATACTCACTATAAAATTGTCATTGTTCAGACAAACCCTAATTTTATAACCTTAAATTTTGTTTGGTTGCAGAGCTATCAAATAGAAAATCAGATCCCTCCTACCACACCCACCTGTTACATCCTCTCTTTCAGGGTTTGTTAATAGTTCTCTCTTACGTTTAATTATATATCATCTATATCCAATAGAAAGTCAATGTTTGCATCTATCAAATGATGTATTATATTACGTTGTGTTCTGTACAGATAGATATCCATTTCACTCATAGCACACGGTTTATTCCGTGGGAACGTTAAAGACTGGCTTGGATGAATTTGTATAGGTGTCGCATAGTTAGAAAACCACAAAATTTTTGAGAGTTGGGGAAACTGTCTGTTTTTTGCATATTATTAGTTTGTGTTCTTTAGTGCATTATTTAATTATAAACAGATGTATACTGTTACAAGCTTGAAGCTACTTAGGATAAACAATGTAGTTTCATGTTACAATTTTAAGTCATTCTAGAAAAAAAAGGGTAATTTAGATTTATTTAGATTTTTTGGTTACGAGGTTGGTCAACGTATAGAGATAGAGTATAGAAAATAACAAATAAAATATAAAGGATTTTTTATAGCAGGTATCTGCAACTTGTTGGTGATAAATGTCATCAGTAAACAAACAGCATATAGTACAATTGTTTTAAAATAATATACTAAAATAAGTCAAACACGTACAAATGTTCATTACACAGTTAATCACCACAGTTGTATCCAGAGCTTTAAATAATCGCTTCTTTTCCACAAAGTCCACACAGGCTGGTTCAGTTACTTCAGAACACAATTGACAACACAATTATTCTTCTCTACTTTGTTGTTACTATACAATATACGATAATTTCAATTAAAAAATAGTGCCACTATACACTCTTTATGGCTAAACACACAATCTAGCTCTAGCTAGATACCTAACTAACAAACTGTCTATCTTTGTCTTGCTTTTTCTTGAACTACATTTTGAATGTGTATTTATAGACTGACAGAGGCCTGAAAGGTTTCACACACTATAAAATATTATGATGCAATAATAATCAATTGAAACAACAAAGAAAACTTTGAAGTTTTTAGTAACATGACTTAATAATACAAGTGGCAATTCACAACAATTGAACCAGACAACGTATGATTTGTACACAGTTATGCAAACAGACTGGAGATAAAGTACAGCTTCTAAAAATAACTAAATTTAACACTTGAGTTATACTTAAACAGAAACAGTACTAATTATAGGCAATGTAGCATTGGTGCAGCATATCACTCTGTTTTTTTTAAGAATCCCTCTCACCTGAGGACCAGTAAGGCAAGGGCCTGTATGTAATGCACCAGCTACTTTTGAGCAACTTATGGAACTTGCACTTAAGAGACTGCAATGGAGAGATACTTGGTCTATATCAATGATGTTTGACCACACTTTGGAGTCATCATTTGAGAAACTGATGATGGTATTCTAGCACATACAAGGGGCAGGCTTGAAACTGGAACCAGGGAAGTGTTCACTCATATAAATGGAAGTGGAGTTTCTTGGTCACATTGTGGGGAAAGATGGAGTCTTGATGGACCCAGCTACAATGATAGATTGGCTACTTCCCACGAAAAAGCAAGAAATTTACAGTTTCCTTAGTTTTGCATCATACTACTGTCGATTTGTGGCCAACTTCACAAAGATGGAAACATCATTCTTGGCACTCACAAAAGTTGAAACAAACTTTGGATGGAACAATGAATGTAATTAGCCATTTGATCTTTAAAGCTTGCTTTAATAGATGCTCTAGTGCTGTCCTATCCTTGTCCTGGACATTAATTACAGCAACAATGGAGTGAGAGTTTTGTTACTGAAGTTGTATGATGGAATAAAACATGTAATTCTATATGCTAGTTATTTGCTCATGGCTATAAAAGGTGCAGTGCAACCTTGCTTTTTGAACCCTTTATGACAAAGAAAAAGCTCATTGTTGTGGTTGTCTTCATAAAACACTTTTGCCACTATTTATATTATATATGGTAGGAATTTCACCATGTTCATGTACCATGCTTTGCTGAAGTAGTTAGTAAACTTTAAAAATCCAGATGGTGTGATAGCATGTTGGATAACAATGTTCCAAGCATATGGCTTTGTCATAATTCATCACCAGTAGCTACAACATGGAAATGTAGATGGGCTGTCTTGCCACATCATAAGACCTTGTCTATTCACAGAATGTCTTGATTCTGGACATGTTAGACTGTTAGCTATGACCAACATAATAAACTTGCACATCAGTCTCATGAATGAAATTGATTGTCAAATCTAAGATAATCAGGTAGTAGGAAGACTACTGATTCAAAAAATGCAGTGACAGCTTGTTTTTCTCACCCTGAGTGGTAACATGAAATACAATGTATGCACTTAACTATATGGTTACTGCTTCATCTTCAAAGCTAGGACAGTCACGTAGTTCAAAGATTACTGACTGAAAGGGTGTAACAACCCTTTGCTTTCCAAACCCAAATCACATGGAATATAGTGTATGCATTACACAATATGATTACTGCTTGATCATGAAATCTCAGATGGTCAGATAGTTGGAAGGCTGCTAACCAAAAGGATGTAGCAACCCATTGCTTTTTGAACCCAAAAATAGTAATGTGAAATACCACGTATGCAACATACTGTATGATAGCTGCTTGATTGTCAAAACTAGGGCAATCATTAGTTTGAGAGCCTGATGATTGAAAGAAAGTGGCATTCCTTGCTTTCCACGTTATGAGATGATGCACTACATTGTATGATTTACAACTGATTACACAGGCCAATGAATAGCATAGAAAGCAGAATGACTGAAGGGAAATAGCATTCCTTGCTTGCTAAGCTATTTGGAAGTTAGGTCCATCAGAGAGTATGGACTATTTTATGGCTGCTACTCAATTACTGACAGTTAGTACAGTTACTGATCTGTATGATTATGGGCTCAAAGGAAGTAGTATTTCTTGCTTTTCAAGCTATCCAGTGGTATTGAGATGCAATGTATCTCCTACAGTGTAGAATGACACTCAATTATAGGCAGTTGGGACAATTATGTTATTGAAAAATATCAGTGATAAAATGACATTGTGACTTCTTACTTTCTGAAGCATAGGATGAGTCATCTGGTGTTAAACATCATCCAATGTTTGGAAACAGTCATTGAGAATCTAGCTGAGTGATGAGAAGTGTGCAGAACATATCAACCAGTACTTGTTAGATTGTTAATCAATCATTTTTTTTGTGGAAGATATGCTGGACCAACTATTGATGTGGGAATCCAGTATTTTCTGAGTGTGTGTTGGAGTAAACTAGTAACTGCACAAATTTCAATCTTAATAAATAGACCTTTAGTCCGAAGTCTTGATTCATCTGAATTTTACCAGTGATTATCTCTTTTATGAAGCCTGAAATAAAAATGGGTTAAGTTTGATGGCCCTTAGATGACAGCATCTTAACTACTAACCATAGCCTTGGCAGGTAATTTAGATGTTACCAAAGTTCAAACGTTAGCCAGAGGTAAGTTGTATGAATTATCAGAGTATTTTAAAAAGCAAAAAGGTGGCATATGTATATGACAATATAAATAAGTAAGTAAACATTCATGTATAGCAACCCACATATTTGAAAGCATTACACAAAAGTTCTTCATAGATGTGTTAACAAATTAAATCAAATGAAGCAATCACTCACAGAGAATGGTAATAAATAGTAACATGAGGGTACTAGAAAAAGTTAAGGATTTGATCTCAATGTTAGAATTGATGAATATGAGGTTAACTGTGATGAATAGCCTGGAAAGTAATATACCTGTGATTATCATTAATAATTTTGACATTCTGCTGCTTTGTGGATATTTTATTGGAGGGATAACAGTATCAAAGAGACTCAGAGAGAGAAAAAAACAGTTCTACCTGAGATTTTAAAGGATACAATTTTACTTGTTGGTTTAAAACAGTTACCTGGTGTTTCTCATAAGCATAGACATCATAAGAAATATATACACATTGTTTAATTTGATTATGGTAGGAATGTTGTCAGTCATTTAGATTGAAGTATGTTTAATAAAGCAAACAGTTTTACTGACTCTAAGTGTAAAACAGGAAGTGGTGAAACCTAATAGTAATTTGTGCCATAAATTGTTACACAATATCTAAATAGAAGAAAGTTTCTAAGGAAAGACAATAAAGCATTGGCAAGGAATAAAAATCAAAGGTGATATTAGTGGCAACTAACCCGAGTGAGCTTGACTGTGTGGATACAAGCAGTCTTAACCCAGATTCCATCGTACAGCAACCAGGCTCTGCCTATGTGACAACAAGACAGTAGACTAGAGATGTTTGTTTGTTTGTGTTTGAATTTCGCGCAAAGCTACACGAGGGCTATCTGCACTAGCCGTCCCTAATTTAG